GCCAGTAATTTGGTTGCTGAATAGTTGTAATCTGATGACTTCATTCAACCACAGGGCAAATTTCCTAACTGGTCAGAGTACCCTTTCCTCCTCAGATTCTGATTCTGCAGGCCTTCTTTATCCCCTGATGATCACCCTCCCTTACCCTATCAAAGGAGCCTTTGTTCGCCAGATTCAGTGTGTGCAGTGAGGGTATGAACTATGAACCACTGATGCAAGTAATATATGCAGGCAACCACCAAGTGGCCGCCTCTGCTCAGGATCTGGGGAAACTCTCCAGTTGCCCATATCAGATCTTTTTTTTTCTTTTTTATTTGGCTACAGCAGGTCTTAGTTGTGACATAATGGAATCTTCGTTGTAGCACATGGGCTTGTGCACTGCCTTGCAGTATGTGGGATCTTAGTTCCCTGACCAGGGATCAAACCCGGGTACCCTGCATTGGGAGGTGGATTCTTACCTAGTGGGCCACCAGGGAAGTCCCATGATGGGCCATTCTAAAGGTGACTTGTCCCCATCACATTCACTGCTTGTTGACTGTTTTCTTCCTTTTCAGGGTAAATAACAAACTTTGGGATTATTTTACTCCAGCCCAGTCTCCTAATAGCCTGCAGGAAAGAGGGCAAGTGAGAGAGGAATCTCAGGAGGCCCCCAAACCTTGAGCATGAGTGACGAGAGGGAATTAACCCAAAGAACACGAACGCAGCTCTGACATCACTGGAACCAGCACTGGGGATAGCACTGCCCAATGCATCACACTTCCTACGTGCTTTGTTATTGTGAGGTAGCAGCTTTGACCATCCAAGCCAGATTGAGTTGGCAGAATTCCTGCCAGTCAGGCTAGCTCCCATTCTTTCTGGAGACCTGGTAATTGTGCCCAAGAAACTCTGTTGTTATAAACCATGGAATTGTTTGCTTTCTGGTTTCAGACACATTTGAAATGTTAAAGGTTTGTTTTATCTCCTTGGTCTTGTGACACCCAGCTAAGGAGATACGTTAGCATCTGCGGATGCAGCCGTGAGGCTCCATGTTCTGTGGCCTGAATACCAGCCATGTGCTCAGCCCAGGACACGCAGTCCTCACGGAGACAGTGCCTTGGGTAGCAGATGGCATGAAGTGGAAGAGATGACAGCCTAGGGAGGTAAGCATTTGGGGGTATGGTAAGAGGGGCTGATGGAGAGAGCTCGGGCAGGAGGACCATGGAAGCATGGGATGAGTGAGAGATTCAGGAAAGAGAGACTAGAGGGAAGGCTGTTGGCTGTGACAGAAGGTGTGAGCGTTGCAATTAGACCAGGGGGAGACCTCATTTCAGCTGTTGACAAGCTCTGTGATCTTGGGTAAGTTACCGTTCCCACTTTTTCCTGTTCAGTGGGGGAGAAGTCTACTTTGTGGGGTTGTCATAAGCATTACATAAGTGAAGGAGTGGGGACACCTCTGGTGGCCCAGTGACTGGGACTCCATGCTCCCAATGCAGGGTGCATGGGTTCGATCCCTGGTCAGGGAACTAAGATCCCATAAGAATCAAGAAATAAGTGAAGGTATGTATGTGATACCAGAGTTGATATGTGATCATTAGACAGTGGCTGAGAGTGAACACCTATTTGGGAAATGCCAAGGGCTGTGGTGAATTCACTAAGACACAGTCACAGTGCAAAGTGACAAATGCAACAGAAGGCAGAGAGAGTGACTAACTCCATCAGAAGAGCCACAGTCTGAGAGGATTCATGTGGGGTGAAGGAACTCTCACCAAGAGGACAGCATGTGCAAGGACACGGCGCTAGGGTAACAGCGAGTTTTCTGGGGCTGGAACGTGATAGTGGTGGGGAGGGAGCGGGGGAGGCAGAGGGTGCCATGGGAAAGGTCAGCTGGGGTCAGGTGGCTTGGCTGACAGTTTGAACTTGCCTCCGCATGACTGGGAAGCCAACAAAGGTTTTGAAACAGCAGTGCCGCGTGGGGTTGGGCATTTGGGGAAGATGACACTACTATGTACTGATGCTCCTGGGTTGTGTTCCAGGCCTTCGTGCCAGGCAATATGTTCACTGCTTTACGTTTCGTCTTCACTGTCCTTGCACATAGAAGCTTTGATCACCACCTGTGTGTGGTAAAGGAAACGGAGGCCTAGGGACAGTTGGGATTTTTTAAACTTTTTATTCTGTGTTGGGGTATAGCCGATTAAGTGATAGTTTCAGATGAACAGCAAAGTAACTCAGCCAGGCATATACATGTGTCCATTCTTCCCCAAACTCCCCTCCCATCCAGGCTGCCAGGAAGCATTGAGTAGAGTTCCATGTGCTCTACAGTAGATCCTTGTTGGCTATTTATTTTAAATATAGCAGTGTGTACCTGTCCATTCCCAACTCCTTAACCACTCCCCGCATCCTTCCTCCTGGCAACCGTTAAGTTCATTCTCTGTGAGTCTGTTTCTGTTTTGTGAACAAGTTCATTTGAATCATTTCTTTTTAGATTCCACATATAAAGGATGTCATTGGGTATTTCTCCTCCTCTGACTTAACATCACTCTGTCTGACAATGTCTAGGTCCATCCATGTTGCTACAAATGGCATTATTTCATCCTTTATAATGGCTGAGTAATAGCCATTGTGTATGTGTACCCCCTCTTCTTTATCCATTCCTCTGTCGATAGACATTGAGGCTGCTTCCGTGTCTTGTCTGTTGTAAACAGTGCTGTGACGAACATCAGGGTGCGTGTATCCTTTCGGATCATGTTCTTCTCCGGATATATGCCCAGCAGTGGGATTGCATATATGGTAGCTCTTTTTTTTTTTTTTTAAGGCAAATTGCTTTTTAGAAGAACTAGACAAACTAATTCTAAAAAGCATAATGTAAAGTGCCAAGCATGTCTAAGACAGTTTTGAAAAACTACAAGGAAAAACAGAACTATAGGGAAGCCCTGTGTTCTATAAGTGTCAAGACTTAATATAAAGATATAGTAACTGAAACAAGGTGATAAATGGGAATAACTAGACAGAGAAGTGAATTAGGAAACTAAATAGAAACAAGACTATATGTATATGTGGGAATATAGTGAGAGCCAGAGAAAACATGCACCTGAGTAGGAAAAGGATTGGTCCTTCAGTAAGTGGTGTTGCAATAACTGGCTAACCAAGTGGGAAAAAGACAAATTTAGATCCCTACCTCACACCATACAATGAAAATAAACTCACAAATGTGTCAGTCAGTTCATTCGCTCAGTTGTATCTGACTCTTTGCAACCCCATGGACTGCAGCATGCCAGGCTTCCCTGTCCATCACCAACTCCAAGAGCTTGCTCAAACTCATGTCCATCAAGTTGGTGATGCCATCCAAGCATCTCATCCTCTGTCATCCCCTTCTGCTCCTGCCTTCCATCTTTCCCAGCATCGGGGTCTTTTCCAGTGAATCAGTCCTTCGCATCAGGTGGCCAAAGTATTAGAGTTTCAGCTTCAGCATCAGTCCTTCCAATGAATATTTAGGACTGATTTCCTTTAGGATTGATGGGTTTGATTTCCTTGCAGTCCAAGGGACTCTCAAGAGTCTTTTCCAACATCACAGTTCAAAAGCATCAATTCTTTGGTGCCCAGCTTTCTTTATGGTCCAACTCTTGCATCCATACATGACTACTGGAAAAACCATAGTTTTGACTCGACAGACCTTTGTTGGCACAGTAATATCTCTGCTTTTTAATATGCTGTCTAGGTTTGTCATAGCTTTTCTTCCAAGGAACAAGTGTCTCTTAATTTTTTTGGCTTTATACAAATGTCTAAAATGAGTCAAAGCTTTTAGGAGAAAATACAGAAGCCAAATAATATATACAGGGTCACACAAGTAGTACATGGAATAACTGTAGTCAAACCCAGGGGGTCTGATTCTGGAACCTGCCTTCTCACCCACTCAGTAGTACTTTCTCCTGGTCACTTTAGTGTGTTAGTTGGGTCAGAGCTAGGAGAAACTGAAGTCAGGAAGTGGTGAATGAATTTGCACCTGAGGACTTCCTTGTGGAATCACCATCACTCAGCCAACATATCGGGCACTGATGATATGCCAGTACACGTCCACGTGTCTGTGTGACAGAGACCAGCAGGACCTCAATGAACATGTATTGAGAGCAAGTGTTTGAACTTGGGTAGGTGAGAAAAGGATAAAAATAAAGCAACAATGAACAGTGGTGAATCATTGTGCGGTGGGGTAGAAGGATATTAGGGAATCATCTAGTCTAATCCTCTCACTTTACAGATTGGGAAATAGACAAAGTGGGAAGGGACTTTTCACCAGTATTGGAGTCTGAAACCCTAAGCAGAGAATACACATCTCTGGCCATGCTGTAAAGAACCAGCTGTTCCAACTCTGTGGACATGAAGATATCTTTTTTTTTTTTAATGGCTATCCCACTCTGGATACCAAACACTGTCTAGCCGGTGCCGAGTCTAACCCCCTGTCCATCACTTCCTCACTCATTCATTCACCATTTTATTTAGTCTTTCTTGTGCCCATCTTCTCCCACTGCAGCCCCCCTACAGAATCCCAATCCTGAATTCACCCCTCTGATGGAAGAGCTGAGCCTGTCCAAAGAAAATCATGTCCTGTGGGGTCACTATGGGTTCATGCGTCCCCTCTAGAAAGCCTACAGTGCCACCTGTCAATGGCTAGTGACTGTCACATTGACAAGTGCAAAGGCCACTTATTTTCTCCCTGACTTCACTCCCTGCTCCCCTCCCTGCTCCCCCCACCCCCTACAGTGTCCTGGCTACACTTCTGGTTCTCCCAGCCACAGCTTTCAGAGTAAAGTTCTAATACCTTGGAGTGTAAGTCACTCAGTCGTGTCTAACTCTCTGCAACCGCATGGACTGTAGCCCGCCAGACTCTTCTGTCCATGGAATTCTCCAGGCAAGAAGACTGGAGTGGGTTGCCTTCCCTTGGGGATCTTCCCAACCCAGGGATTGAACCAGGTCTCCCGAATTGTAGACCGACTCTTTATCAACTGAGCTACCAAGGAAGCCAGTACCTTAGAGTACCCAAAATGTTTTGTGATTTAGCTCCTGCCTACTTCTGATTCATTTCTGCCACCTGCTTTGCCCTTTTTCTCCCCTGGCCTCATAGAACTTTCTGCAGTTCTCTAAATGCACCATTTATCACTGCACTGTTCCAGAATTCACACGTGTTGTGCTCTCCCCAGTTCCTTCTACTCCCCTGAACTCTCAGCCCAGTATCCTGTGAACTTTCCCAGACTGAGGGTAGGGGCTCATGGAGGACTGACTGGTCACTTCCAGGAGGGCTGTCTGAGACAGGCAAGGAAGGCCACGATAGGTTGAAACTGGAGAAAGGCCATTGTGGGTGTTTGCAGTTTGGAGGTGGAGTCGAGGGGAATCTGTTTTACTTGGAGGGAACTTGATCTGAGAAAATTGAGTGGACCAATTATAACAACTAATATTATTTGATGAGTGCTCTCCACTCTACCAAGTACTCTCCCATCAGTTCAGACAGTTCCTTGATCGCTTACTGCTTGTACAGGGCTAAGGGCCAGGGCCCTGACCTTCATTCACATCTACTCTGAGAGGCAGGTACTTTGATCCCTGACTCACTGTTGATGGAACTGAAGCCTGGAGGCTAGAGGACAGGGGAAAGTAGGTCGGGTGTAGGTCAGAGAAAGCTGGAGGGAGGCAAGTACCTTGAAGTCAGGTTTCTGGTGCTGTCAAGGGGTGACCAGTAGGAACCCTGAAGTGGAGAGAGTCCCAAACCTCCCCTGCTCAGGCTGCCAGTAATGTCACAATGTCTGGGGCGGGGTCTGTGGGATCTCTCTCTGCCTCCACCCGATGGACCCTGGGGTGAGGGCCGCTCCACTGGGCAGTGTCTCAGAAGCTTGTCTTCCACTCCTGGGACAGCCCCCTGCTCCACCCTCCCAAAAGAGGCCCATGGGTCTCTGGAAGCAGTGGAAGAATAGCTGAAGCACAGGTATGGAGGTGGGAAAACAGAGAAGACACACGCAGAACACCGGGTAGCTGCACAGAAAGAAGTGAGCCAGTGTAAGAGCAAGCCAGGGGGCTTCCCCTGTGGTGCAGTGGCTAAGACTCCACGCCCCTGGGGCAGGGGCCTGGTGGCAATCCCTGGTCCAGGAACTGGGTTCCACATGCTGCAACTAAAGATACTGCATGCTGCAAATAAGACCCAGCACAGCCAGATAAACAAGTTTTAAAAATAACCAGTAAGGGAATTCCCTGGTGGTCCAGTGGCTAAGACTGTTCTCCTGATACAGGGGGGCTGGGTTCGATCCCCGGTCAGGGAACTAGATCCCACATGCCACAACTAAGACTCTATGCAGCCAAATAAATAAAAATAAATATTAAAAAATAAAAATAACTAGTCAGATTGTTTTGTAGTCCTTTACATTTATGGAGCAGGTTATTATTTACCTAATGTTTAATCCCTCCCTTTTTTTTGGACTTTGCTATGCATGGCTTGTGGGATCTTATTTTTCCTGACCAGGGATTGAACCTGGGCCCTCAGCAATCAAAGTGCAGAGACCTAACCACTGGACTGCCAGGGAATTCCCCCATAAATGTCATTTCTTTCAGTCAACAATAAGCTTATTTATGAGGTGGGTATTATTAGTTACATTTTGGAGTCAGGGACTCTGAGATTCCAAGGTGTTGAGTGACTCAGTTGAAGCCACAAGACTGGCTAGTCGTGGGGTCAGGGCAGTTGGGGCCAGCCTGGAAAGACTAAGCCTGGGCAACGTGATGGTGGCCAGCAAGATTCTGTACAGTCGTGGTCCCTTTCTCTTTGTGTAGTCTCCCCCTTCCCAATCCCTGGGCATTGGCCAACCAACTCACCTCTCATTAACTCGTTTATAAAATAAACATGCACTGGCCCATATTTATTGAGGCATTCTTTTATTTTTTATTTATTTGACCAGGCCAGGTCTTAGTTGCAGCATGTGGGATCTAGTTCCCCTATGAGGGATGGAACCTGGGCCCCCTGCATTGAGAGCACAGAGTCTTAGCCATTGGACCACCAGAGGAATCCCTGTTGAGGCATTCTTTACTCTTCATATTTTTAAAACTGTATTGAGCTATAATTAACATAAAATAAGCTGCACATAAAGTGTATAATTTAATATGTCTTGACAGATGTGTTCAAAGGAAACTATGATAACCAAGGTAATAGATCTATCCCTCACTCCCCAAGATTCCTTTGTGCCTCTTTGTGGTCCCTCTCACCCAACTCTCGCACTTTCTAATCTGCTTTCTGTCAGTATAGTTTGTGTTTGCTAGAGTTTCATATAATAGAATTATGCATCAGAATCTGTATATATTGCAAGCTGTGAATTCAAGTTGTTAATTTTTGCGTAAAGATATCCAGTCGTTCCAGCACCATTTGCTGAAAAGGCTATCCTTCTATTTATAGATTGCTGTGTTTTTGTTTTTTTGCTTTGGCCACGCAATGTGTAATGTGGGATCTTGGTTCCCCCACCAGGGATCAAACTTGTGCCACTGCACTAGGTGTGCCAAGTCCTAACTACTGGACTCCTAGGGAAGTGCCAGTGTTTTTGCTTTTTTGGCTGCACTGGGTCTTCGTTGCTTTTCGTGGGCTTGCTCTGGTTGAGGTGAGTGGGGACTTCTTGTTGTGGAGCATGGGCTCTAGGCACATGGGCTCAGTAGTTGCAGCAGTCGTGGGCTCTAGAGCCTGGTAGCTGTGGTGCCCGGGCTCAGTGGGATCTTCTTGGGCCAGGGATCGAACCAGTGTCCCCTGCGTTGCAAGGCAGATTCCTAACCACTGGACCATCAGAGAAGCCCCTAGTTGTGTTTTTATCATGAAAGGATGTTGATTTTTTTTTTTGTCACATGCTTTTTTGCATCTATTGAATTGATTATGTGGTTGTTTTCCTTTGTCCTATTAATGTGCTATATGACATTCATTTTCCTATAGTTGAACCCCCCCCTTGCCTTCCTAGGATAAATTCCATTTGGTCATTGTGTGTAATCTTTTTTAATGTGCCATTGGATTTGGTCTGCTAGTATTTTATTGAAGATTTTTGTACCTATGTCATTAGGAGCATTGGTCTGTAGTTTTCTTATGGAATCTTTTTCTGGCTTTGGTACCAGGATAATGTTGTCCTCACAGAAACTGTTCCCCTACTCTAGTTTTTGGAAAAGTTGGAATAAGATTAATGTTAATCCTTCTTCAAATGTTTGGTAGAATTGGCGAATGAGGATATCTAGTCCTGATTTTTCTTTGTCAGGATGTTTCTGATTACTGATCCAATCTTCTTACTGTAGGTCTGTAGAGAATTTCTATTTGTTCTTGAATCAGTTTTAATAATTTAGGAATTTGTCAATTTCATCCAGATTACCTTGTTTGCATATAATAGTTCATAATGTTCCCTTATAATCCTTTTCATTTCTGCTTTCATTTCTGATTTGTTATTTTCATCTTGTATTTTTTTTAGTCTAACTAAAGTCTTGTCAATTTTTTTATATTTTCAAAGAACTAACTTTTGATTTTGTCAATTCTCTGTTGTTCCCCACTTCCCATGTTTATTTGTGCTGTATCTTATTTCCTTCTTTCCTTTAGTTTGCTTTTCTTTTTCTGGTTCCTTAAGGTTTAAAGACAGGTTGTTGATCTGAGATCTATTAATATAAGCATTTACAACTATAAATTTCCCACTGCTTACTGCTTTTACTTTATCTTGTAAGTTTGGGTATGTCTTCGTTTGTCTCAAAGTATTTTCTAATTTCCTTAGTGATTTCTTCTTTAACCCATTGTTTTTTTAATGAGTGTGTTGTTTACTCTCTGCATATTTGCTAATTTTCCAGTTTTCCTTCTGTTACTGATTTCTAAATTCAATCCACTGCATTCAGAGAACACACTTTGTATGATTTCAATTCTCTTAAATTTATTCAGAATTCTTTTATTGCCTTACATCTATATTAATGAGATATTGATCTGTAGTTTTGTGTGTTTGTCTGGCTTTGGTAAGTGAACTGAAGTGAAGTGAAAGTACCTCCCCCCCTCCCCCTACCAGCTGAGCCACAAGGGGACTTTAGTAAGTGGGCAATGCTAAGTTAGGAGTTAGGAAGTGGTCCCTTTTGTTCAAGATTTTGGAAGAGTTTGAGAAGGATTGATGGGGATTCTCCTTTAGATTTTTGGTATAATTCATCAGTGAAGCCATCAGGTCCTGAGTCTGTCTTTGTTAGGTTTTAAAAATTTATTAAAATTTGTTTTGTGGCCTAACATATGATCTATCTAGGAGAAAGCTCCATGTGTACTTGAGAACAATGCATATTCTTTGGAAGAAGTGTTCTGTATGTATGTCTGTAAGGTCTAGTTGATTCATAGTGGAATTTTTTTTTTAATTCAGTTAGTTTTACTTTTGGCTACACTGGGTCTTTGTTACTGCACAGGGGCTTTTCTGTAGTTATGGCAAGCTGGGGCTCCTCTCTAGCTGCTCTCTGTGGGCTTCTTGTTGCAGTGCCTTCTCTTGTTGCAGAGCATGGACTCTTAAGCACACAAGTTTCAGTAGTTGTGGCTCAAGGCTCTAGAGTGTGTGCATTCTCTAGTTGTGGCACATGGGCTTAGTTGCTCTGAGATGTGTGGGATCTTCCTGGTCCAGGGATCAAACCAGTATCCACTGAACTGAAAGGAGGATTCTTAACCTCTGGACCACCAAAGAAGCCCTATAATGTTTTTCAAGTACTCTATTTCCTAATTTATTTTCTGTATAGGATCAGTTCAGTCAGCTCAGTTGCTCAGTCATGTCTAACTCTTTGTGACCCCATGGACTGCAGCACGCTGGGCCTCCCTGTCCATCACCAACTCCCAGAGCTTGCTCAAACTCATATCCATCAAGTCAGTGATGCCATCCAACCATCTCATCCTCTGTCATCTCCTTCTCTTCCTGCCTTCAATCTTTCCCAGCATCAGGGGGTCTTTCCCAAGGAGTCAGTTCTTCGCATCAGGTGGCCAAAGTATTGGAGTTTCAGCTTCAGCATCAGTCCTTCCAGTGAACATTCAGGACTGATTTCCTTTAGGATGGACTGGTTTGATCCCCTTGCAGTCCAACGTACTCAAGAGTCTTCTCCAACACCACAGTTGAAAAGAATCAATTCTTCGGCGCTCAGCTTTCTTTATAGCCTAACTCTCACATCCACACATGACCACTGGAAAAACCATAGCTTTGACTAGACGGACCTCTGTTGGCAAAGTAATGTCTCTGCTTTTTCATATGCTGTCTAGGTTGGTCATAACTTTTCTTCCAAGGAGTAACCTACTGTTTCCCCATCTACTTGCCATGAAGTGATGACCCCCAATGCCATGATCTTAGTTTTCTGAATGTTGAGCTTTAAGCCAACTTTTTCTACTCTCCTCTTTCACTTTCATCAAGAGGCTCTTTATTTCTTCTTCACTTTCTGCCATAAGGGTGAGGTCCTCTGCATGTCTGAGATTACTGATATTTCTCCCAGCAGCCTTGATTCTAGCTTGTGCTTCATCCAACCCAACATTTCTCATGATGTACTCTGCATATAAATTAAATAAGCAGGGTGACAGTATACAGCCTTGACAGACTCCTTTTGCTATTTGGAACCAGTCTGTTGTTCCATCTCCAGTTCTAACTGTTGCTTCCTGACCTGCATATAGATTTCTCAAGAGGCAGGTCAGGTGGTCTGGTATTCCCATCTCTTTCAGAATTTTCCACAGTTTGTGGTGATCCACACAGTTAAAGGCTTTGTCATAATCAACAAAGCATACATAGATATTTTTCTGGAACTCTCTTGCTTTTCTGATGATCCAGTGGATGTTGGCAATTTGATCTCTGGTTCCTCTGCCTTTTCTAAAACCAGCTTGAACATCTGGAAGTTCACAGTTCACGTA